AAATAAACAGAGTTGAAAACCATGTTTTAAAGTTTTTCTTCATACTGCATTTATTTACACTGCTTTATATTGAAATCAGTTCAGTTCAGTTCAGTTTAGTTGAGCCAGGTAAGTTCTTCTGTTCCTTTTAAGCTTATGTCTTGCTTTAGAATTCCCCTCGCATACTCGTACATTCAATATACTGATGCTATTTGGCCTGCATCTTATTATGATGCAGACACAGGTAAACCAGGATCATCATCCAGCGCCTCGTTGATCTAGTTGAGCATTCAGAATCATTTGGTGAGCCTCCTTGCTTTCCGGAGGGCTCTTTTGTTATCATTTGCTTTAAGTATTTCATTTGTTAGGATGATCAAGGGTCTTGTCCCGACATCCATCTCGGTTGTTTTAAAGGATTCATAGACAGTCAGATGTTTGTTCTTAAGTTTCTATTTCTTGTTTTAATGGTTGAGACTTGAGTTGCCATTTTTGGCCAGTGAATGTTATCTTGATACATTCTAAGTGTTTATTGAGTAGTTCAGTTTACTTTTAAAAGTATTTTTCTTTATGAGTTAAGTCTTCCGTTGAATAAGCAGCCAGGCCAAAGGTTTGCTTGGGGCCAGCAATGGTTCTCGAGGGCCAGCCACGTCCAGGGTGTAGGCTCAGGGCGTGATATCAACATTTAAATAAATCAAATGTCACTATAACATATAATCACCTCAATTATAACAATTATACGGGTTCAATAAAGAAACACAAATACACAAAAGAAATCAAGTCACTAAATACGTTAGCTAATGCCCATATGCTTGGCATTCTCAAATTACAATATATCCTATTACAGTAATAAATTTTCCCTTTAATAACACCAGTACTCGTACCAATGCTTGTCATACCATTGGTACGAGACCCCCATCTTTCGCCCTTACCCATTGTCCATTTCATTTTTAATCTTCAATTAGAAAACGTCCCTCAATGAAGTCTAGGAAGTCTTAACATACCTCGAATGCCGAACACATGTCACGAATCTTCAAGATTTTGTCTTTCCTTTTCGTAAAGCGTCATAACGTTCCCAATCTATCAAATATGCAATCTTCGTAAGCAATAGACACCCGTATTCCTATAGGTCTAGCCTAGATCCAAACACTCACCCTAATCTATAATTAAGTTCATAAATAATAGTGCCAACTAAATACGTCAAGTCTCATATTCCTAGAGTTTAAGCCTAGGGTTAAATCTAAATTTACCAAAATATCATAATTTTAATGATATTTATATAATACAGATAGATAACCAAAATTTGATTACCTATATTAAATCTACAACAATAAAGTAATAACTATAAGAAATTTCCAGAATTTTAAACCACTAGTAATAAACAAACAACAATAATAGTAATAAACAAGCAGAAATACATACAGTCCCATTTATCTACAAACCTTGTTTTGCCAATGATTAGCCCATCACCCACTCCTATACAGTTATCCTATACTCAAAAACTCATCTAAATATATATAATCAATTTCTTAAATCTCAAGCCTAGAGTTAAGTCTTAAATCCTCCAAATACATAACAATAATGTTGTTCACGAAGTACAATATACCTATAATTAATTACTTGATTTACTTTGTCAAAACTTGTATCAAATCTAAAGATCAAGGAAAGAAAATCTAAAATAAGGAAAACAACTACCCTGTAACTACACCCTGGAAAAAAACGAAAAGCAAAAAAAAAAAAAAAAGTTCGCCACCCAGCTGTACATTAATTTTCCAATACCACCAATTTGTTACTTGGATTTGTCCAATCATCAATCTACCCTTATCTAACATTAAACCTTGAAATTAATCTCCACTATTGTATTCTCTCCTACCCTAATAAGTACAAAAATTGCAGCCAGTAAGAGCTCATCCCTACATTCCTTATCACCAACCATATACCTATTATTCCCACCCATTGTAACAATCATCATATGCATTACATAAAGCACAACGAAAAACCTTTACCTGAAGCATGCGGTTTCTTTTCCCTCGTACACGTTTTGCCACAATTTGTTATTTGTGTTATGCCAATCACCCCTTTAACTTAAGGGAAAATTACATTGAAAAACAAACGTATATCAATAAATTACTTAAAATAGCTATTGTTTACTTTATTTACCATTCGCCACCTGTTCTTTGTCATAATAACGCTTGTTAGTTTTGTATAAGTGTGCCTCTTTTTATCGGGTTCACACGCTACTTGCTTGTTTCTACATATTTTTTCATTTAACCTTTTTCATGCACCCTAAATACAAATTTTCAATCTCTCCCTCTCAATATGTTCTCCCAGATTTTTCAGGTAATTGTTTTGCCGGTTTCAGACTTATTTCATTATTTTGTATTTGTATATTACTGCGAATTTTTTTGTGCCTTTTCAGTTTTTTTGGTTTGATACATCCAAAATCATGGATGAAGAAGAAACACCTTCTAAGAGATTCACTAGAGGTATACAATCGAATCAACATTTTTTGGATGATTTTCCATCTTTCTCTTTGGGTTTTACTTAGGATTTCCAAGAAATTTCAGGATCCGTTGCTAAATCTCGAATTAATCAACAAAAGGGTATGTCGCAGTCTGGTAATACCCCATTGAAGATGCAAGAAGTCGTTCATGTTGCAAATTCAACAGGAAAGACTAAAAAAGTGGATAAACATAAAGAAGACAAATCAGTTGATGTTTTGACTTCAAAGAAGAAGCGTAAAGTAAAAGAGTTAGCATCTACAAGCAATAAACAAGACAAATCAGTTGATGTTTTGATTTCAAAGAAGAAGCGTAAAGTAAAAGAGATTGCATCTACAAGTAATAAAGAAGATGCCCAATCTGATTCAGTTGAACAACTACATTTTGAAAGAATTGAGGTAATTTGTATAATATATAATTGTATATATGTTTGAAGTTCAGGTCTAAAATTGTATGCATATATGTAACTGTTTGAATATATTTGTACCTGTATATATAAAATGAAATTCTATATTTCAATAGTTGTTGTCATTATTTTGAAATTTGTGTTATACTTAATTTCAAATTGTATAATTCTTTTTGTTTCACAGTTGTATTCATATTTGTATAACTTTGTATTTGTATATAGATATTCACATTGTATAACTCCGTATTTGTATATAGATATTCACTTTGTATAACTCCAACTTTGTATATAGATATTCACTTTGTATAACTCCAACTTTGTATATAGCTATTCACTTTGTATAACTCTAATTTTGTATATATATATATTCAATTTGTATAGTTCCATATTTTTGTTACTGTTTTTTCCGTTTGTGTTGTATAATTATACATTTGAAATTGTATTATAAATTTACATTATTTATTAGGGAGTACAATTTATTCTCAAGGAAGATCCACTTTACACCCCACACATGCAATGCTATACCAATATTGGGGTAATGAATCAATTATTTTTATGTATAATTCAACTGTTGAAAAATACCTTATATTTTTATGTATTTGTATATAGGGATTGTGGTCTATACATTTCGGCATTGCAGAGTTCTTGAGTGATGGAAATGGCATTCCAACAGGTCCATTTGATCCTGATTTTTTGCGTAGCAGATATGCAGTGCTGTTGTGGAATTATGGCATGCGCAAAAATCAAGCTAAGGCGATTAGTGGCAGTGAGGCACCAGCCAAGCCAATCAGATCAAACGTTGATGTGGATAGTAGTGAACGTGTCACAATCACTTAGTTTTATTGTATTTTTTTATGTTTGTTTGGAATCTTGTATTAGCAGTAATACTTTTTAAATATTCCAGTTTGATGGGAACAACATTTTGTTGGATCTATTATTTTGTTTAATGAACTCAGATTTGCATTTTTATTTTATTGATGTTTCATATATTATAAAAAAAAAATCGTGAATATAAACTGATTTATACTAATTTATATAGATGAATAGTTTGACATATTATACAATAATTTTTGAATAATTATACAACTTAATTGAGAAATCATTATACAAACACAATTATTACTATAGAAAATTGTATATATAACTATATATTTGTTCCCCTCTCTCACTTTATACAAAAACACAAATGTATAAAATGTGTTTTTGTTTGTATAAATCAAGAGAAATTATATATATGCATATATTTTCATTCCCCTCTCCCCCCTCTCCAAGATCTTGCTCACCACTCTCCCACATCTTGCTCCCTCACTCGCCTCTCTCACTTTATACAAAAACGCAAATGTATAAAATGTGTTTGTATTTATATAAAGCGAGAGAAAATTGTATATATACATACTTTTCATCCCCCTCTCTCCCCTCTCTCAATTTATACAAACACAGATGTATACATTGTCTTTGTGTTTGTATAAAGCGGGAGAAAATTGTATATACAGATACAAATGCATATATTTTCATCCTATACACTTTTGATTACACAAATACGATTTTCTCTTGCCCAGTTTTTTTTTTGTCATGCTCTATTTCTCACTTTATACAAACACAGATTATACAATTGATCTTTTGTATATGTATACCAAAACAGATTATACAATTGCTTTCTTTTGTATAAGAACACTAATAATTTATGCGTAGTTCAACTTTCATAAAATTCACTGTTCTGATAACAACTATCGAAAATAGTTATACATAGTGGGTACCTATTAAATTCATTTGTAAATAGTATTACATAGGGGGTACCTATTAAACACCAATCGTGATCATGTATCTATACAACTCAAATAATATTCAAATGTCAAAAGTGAGAAAATATTAAATGTACAAAATCATCATAGACATTTCAAATTGAATCATTCCTAAACTTCTCGAGGCTGATTTCTACAAGAACGCCTATTGTGACCTGCAATACCACATGTACTGCATGTATTTGTCCCCTTAGGTTCAAACATCTCTCTTGCTGATTTGTCGCGAGCCTTTTTTCTTGCTCTTCCAAGAGGCCTTTTGAATTCTGGACGAAGAACTAAATCAGTCATTATGTATCCAGGGACCACCCACTCTGTTTAATCTGGCAATGGGTATATTGGAAAACCATAAGTCTTCAACACTATTGTCGGTGTGTATAAATTCGAGCAGAACTCATTTGTTCCTAAACTCTTGAACTTCAAAACAGCCCAAGCATGTTCACGTGGTATTTCTTCATACTGAAATCTTCCACAAGTATACCTTTTCTTCTGAAGACAAACTATATAATTTCTACCTTTATCATTGACATTGTGAACATATTCAGTTGACGAAAAAACCTCCAATATACAAAAATAGATCAAAACAGATTATTATGTACAAATATATACAAATATATAGAAACCATACCATCAGTCGTGTACTCATTACTTCATTGATTTTGAGTATCTCCTGAAATTTTCCAATCAAGGGAGTAAATGTGAATGATTCCTCTTTTTTGTTATCACAATTCCATCTGCCAAACATCAGCCTAACTTCCTCTAGAAAATCATAAATTGGCAATTCTCTTGCTGAAACTAATGCCGCATTTATACTTTCTGTGATATTCGATGTCATTGACCAACCACGATGAACTGGTGCATAAATCCTATACCACTTATCATATCCAGCTAACTCCAAGTATTCCTTTACTCGTATATCTACCTTCTCTACTATCTTCATTAGCCTATCAAAATCTAATTGATTGGACGTCTTAGCCATTGTATAGAATACTGGACTTAATTTTTCATGGGATTTTTTGTACTTTGTCTGAACATTCTTCCAAAGGTGCCACATACAAGCATAGTGTTGCAAATCATTATACACTTGCGTAACAGCCTTTATGATGCTATCATTTCTATCAGACACAATACACATATTGTTCCTTTCCCCATACGATTCTCTTAGTTATTCAAAGAACCATGTACAAGAGGCATCATTCTCTAAATCTAAGACACCGTATGCTAGTGGAAATATATGACCTACACATATATATTTATACAGTTACAGAATTGCAGATTATAAATATATATACAAAGAGTTATGTATAACAGTCATTCAGAATTCATATATGTATATATAATATAAAATACATATTTATATACCTGCACCGTCAGTCGTGCTTGCTGCTACAAAAGTTCCATTATAAGGTCCTCGGAGGTGACTCCACAGGTCGGCAATGGTCAAATTCTTCGATGAAAGGATCCAATGCAACAAATAGGTACAAAAATCTATCTTCATCTGTTTTCTGCAAACGTATATGGGATCCTGGATATGTAATACCCAATATATACAAATACTCAGGTAGTTTGCTGTAGGATCCTCTTGGCGTGCCCCTCAAAGAAATCAAAAGCCCTTTCTTTAGCTCTCCAAGCCAACATTAAGTTATATCAACACCAAGATCCAGCTTCATATATTTTTTTATGTCAGCACGTGTGTATTTCCTTTTATGATCTACCAATTTAGGCTTAACAATTCCTCCAACTAAATTGCTTGTTACATGTCGTTGTGAATACACCCTATCTTTCAGTGAACATTTATGTTCAGCATTGAACGCTCTTATTCTAAACATTCCTGATTTGTTAATATCTGAGGCCGCCTTCATTAACCAATCGAATTCGGAGAAATACACAAGTGTATAGCTACACGTAAAATAACCAATATATATACAGATAAGTCAAAATTATACACCTAATAACAGTTGAACAGATTTATACAAATGATGTTACCTGATTGAATTTGACCTCTTTGTTTTAAACTGAAATCGTTCCGCAATTGCATATTGCTCCATCACACACTTCAATGTAGCTTTATTATTGTATACTTGATCTATCTTTACATACTTATGTGATGGATCAGTAATCACCACACTACAATTCTCCATTTGAAAGGTATCAAGGGGATTTACTATCTCTGCAACCGTCAGTCTCTGTTTTCCAAATTCCTCAAAACCAGTTATACAAAGTGATCCAGAAATACCAGATGCTACCATAGTTGAACTTTCACAATGTTCATTGTTCTGATAACACCTATTAGAAATAGTTATACAAAGGGGGTATTTGTTAAATTCATTTGTAGATTTTTTTAGCATTACATATACCAGCACCCCCATCTCATTGTGTATCACCATCCTAGTACTGCTCTGATCAACCTTATATTCAATTTTTAGTACCTTCACAGTCACATCCACAGTTAGTTGAGTTGCAATTATATTATACAACTCTGTAAACGAGGCATTTTCTCTAAAAACAACTCCCTCAATAACATAGTCAACATAACAGTTTGTATCATCCCATTTTCCAGAATGCATTACCAAAATAGCTATTGAAGACATTCTTGTATACAATTAAATATAAATGTAAATCAGTTGTTATTAATCCATTTATACATACACTAATTTATACAATTTTACAAATCAAAATCACTTTATAACAACTAATTTATACAATAATTAACACGGTTCTATTCTTCCAACTATTTTATACAATTAATCACTGAAATAGTTCAATTATACAAATACAAATATAAAAGTTTATATTTATACAAACAATAACTTATACAGACACTAACTCCACATAAACTACAACTATCAATGAAATATACATATTCAAATTGAAATTCAACTAAAACTAATTTATATAATTTTACAAATCAAAATCATTTTATACAAACTAATTTATACAAAAATTAACTTTATACAATTAATCACTGAAAAAGCTCAGTTATACAACTGCAGATATAAAAGTCTACATTTATACAAATAATAACTTATACAGACACTAACTACACATAAACTACAGATATCAATGAATTATACATATTCGAATAACAATTCAACTAAAATTAATTTATACAATTTTACAAATCAAAATCACTTTATACCAACTAACTCCACAAAAAACAATTGAAACATATATTCAATCAAAGCTCCGATTATCAATTCCCATTTGAATATCGATTAAATAGCTTATACAATTATAGATATATATTCCTCATTAATAGATCAATTAAAATACAATTGAAACAGTTTCTTCAATTAGAAGAACTAAATATCAATCGATTCAACCAAAGCTCTAGAGCACCAAACAGAAAAGAGATGAAATTCATTGTATTATCTACCTGTTGTATAATCAACTATGAAATTAATTGATTTGTTCTTGAATTGTGGTCGCCGATACGACGATCTCAGAAGAAAAGTGAGTTGTCGGCAAGATTGGATCAGATGTACACAGATGAAATCAATTCGGTTGTAGAAAGAAGATATAACGGGTAGAAAAGTCTAACGAGCGTTAATTAAGGGGTTTTTGATACCCTCTCTAAGCCGATATTACCGCCATTAACTTTCAAAATATTTGAATTCTATTTTGTATAAAATTGTGAAAGAAAGTAAATTATACACACGATCACAGCTGTAGCAACTTAAAATATAGCTACGGTTGGTAATTATGGAAACTTTAGCTAAGGAGAATAATTAATTTAATTATGGTAGCTATATGCGAAAATTTCCCTTAACTTAATTCAATATATGGGCAAAGTGATAGAGGGTATTAAATGGGCAAATTACAGAAATAACATATTTTTAAGGTAAAATTATAATTTATCCCTTAAAAATTTATAATTACATAAATCTCTCAAACTAATACAATAATATAAGCTCTGAAACATTAATCTGATGCGCGAGATACAATAATATAAGCGCGGATACATTAATCGTTAAGTAAGATACATTACATTTTATACATGATACACTAATCTGATGTACATTTTATACACGATACACTAATCTGATGCGCGAGATATACTAATTTGATGCGCGAAAATGAGGGATTTTGGAGATATGTAAAACTTATAGGGGATAATGGTAATAAGTAAACTAAATGGTGGGATTTCTGTAAGTTTTCCTTAAATTTATGACAGACTTGGCCCAGTACTTTCAACTATATTAATTGCTTAATAATTATTTGTTAACTAAATAATCGTAGCTATCAAATAGTTAAAAATTTATATTTAAAATTTTATGAGAAGAATCAAAATAGTCCAAGTGCCCAAAACAACCTAACGGGTCATTACATCACATACAACTAGGCTTTTATAGTAAAACTGTGATTATGAACTTGTTAATTGTTATACCGAATTATATATATATATATATATATATAATATCTTTTTGGATGAGAACAGTCCTTGAATAAATATACAGATGCATCACCTTGAATTTTGGGGATTAATCTTAAATAATTTTAGGATGACATTTCTAGATATACATTGTTATGAGATCACATACAGAATTGACGAAAAGATCGATTTCAAAAGGATTGTAAAAAGAACTCAATAATATTTTTGAAAGAATATATTCATGTGATGATGCGTCAATTCTTACACTATTTAACAACACGTCAGAAGTGTTAAGTCTAATTCCATTTGAGGGAAGGGAACAACTATCGATAACTATTTCAATTACCAGTATTTATATTAACTTGTGCTGCATGTAATAATAGATAAAGATTTTATTGAATCTAGCTTCCAACACCATGATTGAATTACGTAGACTATATTTCCTTAGATGAACATAACCGATAGATTGCAAACTTACTATTTTCTCTTCTTTGTCTATGTAACACTTTTAAATTTGGAGTTAAGAATTCTATTCTTACAAATTCTTTTAGGGTAAAATCATCCCGAACATTTATGGTCATTTATTTTCTCACTCTATTACCTTGACATTACGAATGATCTCATGTAATTGTGTAAGTACATATTTATATTAATATATATTAAATATAGAAGACTTGGACTTGGACTTGGGGATTGGGCTTGGGCTTGGATCGGAACTTAAAATATATATTTGCTCTATAAATAACAATGTTTTTACAAACAAGAATAATATATATAGAAAGAAGGGTCATATCATATCTATATCTGTAATGCAATACAAACTATACAAAATAGGTCCAAAATTAATAAAGTGCCGAAGAGACAAATGACTCAAGATAGAGATAATGATAGTTTATGTTCACTCAATAATTATATTGTGATCATCATTTTTGAGAAATCTTTTCACAATATCCACGCATGGTTGCATAACAGTAATTCTACATACTTCGTCAACAACTTCTTTTCTATCTCCTTTGAAAACGTCAGTAACAATAATATGATGCACCAACCACATTTTCTCATTTATTAACCGTTGAATCTTGACAAGTTGGTGACAAATTAATAAACCAGTATTACGCTTTATATTCGCAATTGATAATTGAAGAATCGTCTTCTTTGATTCATCATGTTCGTCTATATTGGTTTCTTCTCTTAAATATTTGTCCATTTCGAGGACACCAATGGACCGTCGGATTCCTTTGGTGTAATTTGCAATTGGAATAAAAATCTGTAGCACCTCATCAACTAGCCTTGTATGCAACATAAATTTAAGAAGAGTTTAATTTAGTGGAACATATATTTGATAACCAAAAATATTATTAAGAAAATTACATCAGAAAAGTTTTTAGCTCGATGCATGATTATATCTTGATTGATAAATAAAACAATTACAAAAATTACCTGCATTGACTATTTCATTAACCCTCATGTCAACTCTACGGTTCAAGACTTATTGCTCTACATCAATCCAAATTAAGCAAGTATCATGCTTATATTTGAACATGAACACATGGTCTTCCACAAGTTTTTCAATATACAAATTTGAACCTCCAACAATTATTGGAAAA